CACACCACTCATCTTACACAACTCAACACCACTCTTCTCACACACCGCCTCTCGCCACTCATCACACACCACTCATCTCACACCACTCATCTCACACCACTCATCACACACCACTCATCACACACCACTCATCACACAGCACTCATCTCTTTCACTTTTATCGTCCAGTATCTTTCCGTCCTCTTCTCTTATCAATCTCTACTGACTCTACTTCTTGCTGTGATAGTTCTTACAAGCTTAACATGTGGGGTTATCCGATCCTTTTATTTGATGGCTCGCCCGAAGGTGCACACTTTTGAGTCGGCTTTGCCTCCGTCTTTTTCTTTGCCCGTGTCCTTTTGCTCGCAAAATTTGGTGCTTTCCAACGCAGGCGATTGAAACACGGCGCAGCCCTTCAGCAAGACCTATTTTTGTTTCGCGGTTGTTTTAGGTCGAGGGTTCCTCCGATAAATGAAATGGAAAGAAAGTGGGCCAGGAAACGAAAAACAATTGGCACAGGGTTGTCGTGCTTAAAAGACAGATTTCGGCTTAGGTAGGAAAAATTGGGTTACGCCATTTTTGTGGTGCAAGCTGGGTTGAGGGCATGGCCTTCCCCAACAGGACACAAATTGTTTTAAGACACCACCAGAGGCCACAAAGAGCCAACACCGGAAGTCACCAAAGCCATCAAAAGTCACTAGCAAGCATGCGCAATTGTAGGTTTCGCACACCAAACAACCATCTGCTTCTTTCGACAAATTCAGGGGTTGTTAGGTGTTCTGTACAGTTCTGCATTCGGAGGGCCGCTCTCGCAGGCTCTCAACCTGGATGCGCGGCTGGGGATGCTTCAGGCGCTTGAATAAGGTTTCGCCGCCCGAATGCAGTGTGACCCTTGTTGCTGAAGGACAAAGGAACCGAAGCCAAGTTTGAAGACATCAAGCGAAGCTTGGAGGATGCTAAGGTGCATCACTTAATTATCATCATTGGTCATGAAAGGTTTTTGTCGTCCAGTCTGCACAGAAATACTCCGTTTTGAGTCTCGCATTGTGCTCAAAAGCACGCACCGATTGGAAACTGACAGCGGTCCCCGAGCCTCTCTAGATTGGACACTGAACGATGTGTTGCTGCAAACATCTCGTCAAGGCCGCGCGCGAAGAATTTGCGACAAAAGTGGAACACGTGCAGGAAGCTGTTCAGGTGGGGATTTAACGCCGTGATTCTCGACGCAGGTTTAGTTTAGTTTAGATTTGTCGCTCTATCTCATCCGCAGGTTTATGCGAGAGAGAGGGTCCGCTGTGGAGTTCTCGGCTCAGGTTGGGAACGGATCCCCCTTCTCTGCCAGGGACCGTGAGGTCCTGGCAGTGAAGGGAAAGGTGCAGTGCTGCGCGAGCAATGGCGCTGGAAGTCCTGCGGGAGTATGGCAGGTCTTTGGGCCTCACGGTTGAGGGGATAGAGCTAGTGTTGCGGAACGGCCCCAAAAAAGACATTGGGTGGGTCACGTGGTCAACAGGCCGTGATGGGCGTCCGTCACCTGAGGTGGCGAAAGTCCCTGAAGGGGTTTTCTCAGTCCTGCATCGAGTACGAATGCACGGACGCCGGTCCCCAGCGGAGGCAGGGCTATCATGTTGGGCTGCCAAGGAAGCGTTCGCTTGCAGAGCACCTGGAGGAGAAGTTCAAGGAGAAGGAGACGGTGGCCCGCCGAAAGGCCAAAAAGAAGCGGTCAAGCCAGCTCGAGCTCAACTGACGAGTCGAGTAAATCATCTGGCTCGCATCTGCAGTCAGCCCCGAGGGGTGACAGTGGAAGATCGCGACCAAGAAGCCCACTGAAGGCGGTGGAAGCTTCGCTGAACGAGGTGGGCTGGCACTTAGCAAGGCACCTCGACCTCATCCTGCCAGCTGCAGCTCAGATGAGCACGGAGGAGGACCGAGAGTTGGCGGCGAAGACCAAGCTTCGGGCTTTGAAGGTGACCGTCATCGCGAAGGACAAAAAGCCCCCAAACAGGAAGTCGGCAGCGGAGCCTCCAGTGGCCTGCGGCGGTCCGTGAGTCTTTTAAGAAGTTCTCATCTGAAGTGGGGCGACAAGGCCGCCCTGAGAGCACCGATGTAGCAGCAGGAAAATCCGAGAAGGGTGACGTTCACCGACCGGTGGAAGAGGCAGGAGTCAGGGAAGGTTGGAGCCGGCTCAACGACGAGGAGATAGTCCAGGAAAGGCTGGTGGAGGAGTCCGAAATGAAGAGGCAAAGGCGGAAAAAGGGGGAAAAGGGGGAAGGATGCCTCCCAGAGCTCCCGCCAGGTTTCAGCAACGTCTTGAACGAGCTCTGAAGTGATAGATGTTTTTGACGGAGATGTCCCGTCGGGTTTCTCAGCAGTTCAGCTGGTGCGTCATTTGTTGGTGCAGATCTTCACGATTGATTCTCCCTTCGCCAGGATGTTGAGATGGAGCACCCAGCCCCACGGGAGGGGGGCAGATCGCCCCTCGAGATCTGCTGTGTGTGGTAGGCGAAGTGGAAGAAAGTCGACAAGTTCGCGATATGGCGAGTGGAGGCTAAGCGGTGACACCAGAACTTTAAGGCCAGCAGGAGCCTCAGGTATCTGGTGGTCTGCTGCCTACATAGAATGGCAGCAGGCGCCACCCACATGGCCCCAGTCGGGGGGATCTGCCACCGCAGCCCAAGAGGAAGCCCTGAATAGAAATGCTACATGGCCAACGGCAAAGGGCGGACACGAGCAGTGACAGACCTGGGAGACACATGAATAGAAATGCTACATATGGCCAACCGAAAAGGACGGACGCGAGCAGTGACAGACCTGGGAGACAAATGAATAGACATGCTACATGGCCAGCGGAAATCGTGACAGAAAGGGCGGGCCCATCTTAAGAAACTTTGGAGATTTTCGTCGATGAAAAGGCAAAGAGGGGTGTTCCCCGTATCTGGGATGGGGATTGAGCCAGCAAGCTCAACGAGTTGAGGGTGTCCTACACCGGTGAAACCGTAGAGAAGGCTCACCCCATCAGCCTGGAGCAAATCTCCAGGGTTGCCAAGCCCGGATCATGGAGGTATTGATTTGGTTGATGTGCTGCCTGCAGCACTTGGCCAGAGAGATCGAGGACCCCAGTTTAAACTCCCACCTCGGCCACTTGTGAGATGCAGCGATGAAGAGTGGCCAAAGATCGTCAGGGCCCTTCTTGATAGAGGTCTGGTCCGCCTCATCAATCGTTGTCCTCGGGTTGGTGACTTCCAGATGAAGAATGGGGCCTTTGGAGTGCCCAAGCCCGGCAAGGTGACCGAGAGTGGAAAGCCGGCCTTGCGCTTCATTGTCGACCTTCATGCCACCAACTACTTCCTGAGACAGATCGAAGGTGACACACATATTCTGACGGGCGCGGCCACATTCCAGAGGATCGTGGTGGATGATGGAAAGGAGCTGCTGATTTCAGGGGAAGACCTTACGTCGGCCTTCTATTGATTCCGACTCCGGGAAGCCTGGGATCAGAGAAGTACGTGGGCTTGAGCGTGCTACCTATGGACCTATGGTGTGGTCGAGTGGTGGCACTCACGCACGCCGCTCATCGCTGCATAGCCCTGCGGGCGCCCTCTCTGGGTGGCGCGGGACTCAGCAGCCTCAACGAAGTCTCCAGAACTGCATCCTTTCCAGACATCAGTGATGAGGCATGCTGGAGCATCTACCTTGATGATACCACAATCATTGAGTCAGTTGACAAATCAGTGGCGCAGAGTTGATCGGGCCCCATTCGGCAGAGCAAGAGAGGCTGACGCAGGCTTACAGCTGGCTGGGCATCCCAACCAACGCTCAGAAGGCCCTGGTGCGGTGGCGCATTGTTGGATGGCAAGAAGGGAGTCCTCAGGGCTAACGCCCAAAGCTGTTTGGATGTGATTGGGCTTGGAACCTACATCAGGGGGTTGCGCTGGATCCCTCTGAAAGCCCTGCAAGTCTGGGCAGGAAAGATCCCCTCTTCGCGAACATGGAGGAGATTCACGGCTATTGCTAGCGGAGTGCAAGAGCAGAAGATGACAGTAAAGTTGGCCCAGGGGATGCTGATCATAGAGGCCCTCTTGCCCATCGCGCAGTGCAACCTCAGGTCAAACCGTGGGCCTAGTGGTCACGTGCTCTGATGCCTCGGAGACTGGAGGAGGCAGTTGCTACTCTTCGAGGCTTACGTGGAGCGGTCGAGCTGGCCACGAAGCTTCTTGAGGGCAAGTCCGGCGATGATGTGATCTATAGACCCGACAGAAGCTGACTGCGTGGCCCTGGTTGTGGGTTAATCTTCAGGAATCGGCGGACTCAAAGAAGCGCTGAAGAGTGCTGGCCTTGGAAAGTGTTCATTGAGAAAGATAGAGAGTGCGGGCGAATGGTCCGCAGGCACTACCCGGAGGTGCGCCCGTAAAGTGCCCACACGCGGTTGGAATCGTGGCAGGTGGAGGCAGCCCCTGTCAGGGATTGAGGAGGCTGTCCAGCACCAGGGACCACCTGAACGATCCTCGCAGCAAGTTGTTCTTTGAAGCGGTTCGCATCTTCAAGATGATGGATGCCGAGGCTGCGTGGAGGAACCTTTGGACGTTGAAGCTCCTGGAGAATGTGGTCGCTGACTTGGAGGACATTCAGGAGATGTCTGATGCATTGAAGATGAGGTGTCGTTTCTCAGGCCGGAAAGCAGGAGCTCGTGAACCAGACGTGAGGTTTCCAACTTTCACGCGGGCGATCCCACGGAAGAAACCTCCACCATCCTCGGCAGGCCTTCGAAGCTCATTGCCAGGTCCCGTTAACGAGCGCCGGGCAGAAGATGGATATCGCTACCCGCCGTACACCGGAGAAGTTCATGATCTCGACCGATCAAGGCACCCTAAGGCCCTTTGATGGCTGAGGAGAGAGAGGTCCTCATGGCGATGCTAAAGAAGGCGCTGAAAACGGCCGAGGAGCTTCGCCGTGGCCGAAGACCTCACGTGTGCTGCCATTGGCAACTCGTTCCACATCAAGACTGTGGCGATCCTTCTCGACTACGCCCTGGCAAGCTGGGGAGTAAAGTCATTGCGGGGGCCGCAAGTGATTTGTCAAGCCCATACGAATGAAGCATTGAAGAGGTTCGCTCAGGTGAAGTATGAAGATGACCCCGAAGTCGAGCAGCGTGCTGGTGGAGAGCCTTCGCGGTAACCACCCGTTGCAGACGATACAGAGGAGTCAGATGGTATGACGCTACCCTTAGCTTCCGAGAAGCTACTTTTTTTTTCATTGCTCCAAAAAGTTGTCTGCCAGCCGGTTTTTTTGGCTTCCAGGTTTTTTATGTTAGAAGCCTCTGGAAGCCAAAAAAAAAGGCTTCTAGAAATCCAAAAAAGAGGCTTCTAGAAGCCAAAAAAAGAGGCTCCTAGAAGTCAAAAAATATAGCTTCTGGAAATGTATATGTATAGATATTCTTATTTATTTATTTATTTATTTATATAACATCATGATACATTTATGCGCTGCATCACTCTTTTGTCTATTTCATTTAGCCATTGCTGGCTTGGCTTGTCCAAGATGAGGGAATGGAGTGGCTGACATCCACCTCAGCAAGACCTTTTCAGAAGCCTTGCCAGGCTGGAATTTACCACCTCTGCGAAAAAATAAAGTTTGCAGTGACCCTGCAAATGTTTCATCCTTATAACTCCAGCTGTCTTTTGGATGGTTACCAAGCTCAACCAAATCCAAAATGTGGGCCAAGAGGTGGAGCTTGGGCTTTGATCTCCACAATCGAACCTCTGAGACATCACTGGCTTGGACTTCTGCTTCTAAAGCCATGTACTGGCTGATGAATTTTCTTCCAGCCTTCACCAGTTCTTCTTTGTTGGAGGCTTCTAAACTGTTGTACATATGGCTGCAGTACTTGGCCACTTTGTAGACAGCTTTCTCATGCCAGGTGCCTTCATGCAGGCATTGTCTTTTGCACAATGGTTCGAGAAGGGTGCAAAAATCCCTGACTTCATGGGCCTTGCAATCCAAAACTGGAGCTTTCTTTGGTTTGACTATATCCTTGACAGTCAACTTCTTGAGCCTTTTGCAGGCTGGAAAATCTCTTTCTTCATACATTTTTTGAATCTCTTGCCAGAGATTGGCACATCTTTCATCTTGAGAAGTGCCTGGAAAAGATTGCAGTAATTCTTTCAGAATTTGCCCTGCTGCCACAGCAAGACTGCCCTCAT